GCCCAGGCTGCCCCACCCTCAGGGTGGGTTAGGCCTCCACCTCCCTGTTAGGGTTTAAAGTACTTCAAAAGAGTTCCCTGAACAAAAACAGCTCTCACAGGTCCTGTCTGGTAGCTTGGAATCACACCAGGAGAGACAGACCCCTTTTAGGTAAAGACATTGAGCCTTGGAGGCCCCTGCTCGAAAGTCACCTGTATCCCTAGAAGGGACTCCCACACTGCAGCCTCCAGTACCCTAGCTGGCATTGTCTCCCCTGTCACTCTGTGCATTGCAACAGACATTGCCTAATGCCAGATTGCTGATGGGATTGGACAGTCGCTAGCAATTCCTGTGAGAATGGGGGACAGGATGGGGAACTTTGTGACTGAGGGAAGGTGTGAGAGGGTGCAGAGTGACTCAGACAGGGGAAGACAGGATAGTAGAGGTGTGGGGTTCTGTGAAAGATGGGGACACGCTATTGGCAGGAGTAGAGAAGGCCTTTAGTCTAAGGTGGAATGCCATGAGCTTTCCAGCACTGCCAGGAAGAAAAGGGTTGAGTCATAGGGTGGGCATACGTGGGGGGTGGAGAGGTCAGGGGGAAGGGGCTGTTTGTGGGGGACGCTCTGGTTCAGTGCTGGCAGCACCCTGAGCGGCACACTTGAGCAATCACAGATTATTCCTCTGTGGAAGGTGATGAAGAAAATGTAAGAACATGGGAAAGTGTTTGCGATGTAACGATAAGTGAGAAAAAAGAAGGTTACAAAATGGGACGTAGAGTGGGATCCCTATTGTGTAACACTGGCTGGAAAGACACCAGAACATTAGCTGTTGTTATCCCTGCTACAGTAAGGATGACTTGCATTTCTTCTTGGAGCCTGTCTGTGTAGTCCAGGTTTTCTATAATGAACTTGAAATGTGATTTTTCTACATATCTGAAAGTGTTATTTTAGAAGAAAATTAATTGAGTGCTTATTAAATTCTACAGTTTCAGCACAACACGTCATGCAAAGAAGTGTAAGCCACAGCCACCACTCGCAGATGACTCTGAAATCCAGGCATAGCACCGGGGGACAGTTCTGTGCAGAAGGAATGTGGCCCCCGCCTGGGCTCTGCCCTGGTCCGCAGCTTCCTACCTGTGACCCGAACAAGTGCCTGGACCTTTCTGTGTTTTGTTTGCTTCATCTGTAAAATGGGAATAATAACAGTACCTGTAAGGATTAGTTGAGCTGATACACGTGACCACTTAGAAGAGCACCTGCCACTGGATAATCACGACAGAAGCGTTAGCTGTTGCTTCTTAGTGGTTAAGAACTTTGTCTCTGGTGTCGCTCTGTCTGGGTTCAAATCCATGTTCTGTCTCGATCAGGCTTAGGCAAATGATTTCATCATTGTCTCTACCTCAGTTTCTTAATCTTTAAAATGGGGATGAAAATAATGGTGCTTCATCCATAGAGTTGTTATAAAAATTAACCATGTAATTATGGATAAAATATGTTACTTAGGAGAGTGTTTAGCAGCTAAGAAGTGCTCAGTAAATGGGAGCTGCTATAATACTAATTATTATTAGTTATTACTATTACTGTTGAGGGAGGCAGTGACTGGCGGTGAGAACCACCAGAGCACCCTGTGGAGAGCCAGCCGCAAGTGGCCACTCATGACTGAGTGGGTGCATGAGATGGGCTGAGCCGGGCCCTGCAGGATGGCTTTACCCTCTCTTTTCTGCCTCTCCTGTGTCCTCCTCTAGCTTGGGTTATTCTGGTCCTTTTAAAACTGTGCCATTCCTTCAACACACCACTAACTCCTTGATCCTTATTTAGGCACAGGCAGAGGTGGGCATGTGGTGAAGTTAATGAAGGGAGGCTTCCAGAACTGTTTATTTCATGGGAAATGCCTCAGCAATATTATATTTATAATGGAGTCTTTTTCTTGTAGGAGACTTCCATCTTTGTGTCAACTTTGACCCCAACTGGATCCTCCCTTCGATTTAGGAAGGGGGCTCCCAATTTAGACTTCCAAGGCCCCATCTGCTGAAATCCAGCCCCTTTCTTTAACTGGCCCTGGTCACCAGGGACTTATCTGGGTAATGTTTTTGCCCCTGTGAGCCTCTTTTCCTTTGTTACTGATGCATAGTATGTCATGTCTCCTCCTGGAGCTACAGCCTCTACCTGTCACCATTAGGGTTGGTGTTAACACGAATGAATGAATGAATGAATGAATGAACGCACGAACGAGTGAACTTGCAATGCCTGGGGGTAGAGAACAAATGAACAAATATAGTTTGAGTCTGTTTTATTCCTAAAGAAAAATTAACAGCAGGGTAATTGCTTAGTCCTGTGATGGAACAAAGTCCTCAGAAGACAGGAGAAGCTGGAAGCCTTTTAAATCGATGAGGAACAAGAAGCCTCTGAGATCCCAGAGTGACTGAAGTTTAGGAACACAACTGCATCTACATGAGAAAATGTATTAAGTCTGGAGAGATGTGTCCAGAAGCTGAAGTTGAGGAACCATCACAGGGCTTTATTGAGAGCTGGTTCTCCTTACATTTGAGCTTTATGAATGCCGCTTTGCTGGTGTACTTTATTAAAGACTTATGTTTTTAGTTAAGAATGAGTAAAATCAACAGGAGAGGAAGCATGGCTGTGTCAACGTTAGTCAGGGACTCCCAGTGTCTCTCTGGCTTTCTGAACTACATTTGAGAGAACTTTTCCAGGCCGTATTCAGAACCTTGCAACTCACCCCATGACAGACGCTCCTACGTACACTGTGCGATTGTTTCATTGGCCCAGCATCTCCTCGGAGACCGTTACCTCTGGGAAGGTGAGACTTCCACACCCCCCCACAAACACTGAGAGCTGAGGAGCTGGGGCGTTAAACAGGAGCGGTGGGGAATTTTGTGTGAACTAAGTACCCACTTGTTGGTCAAATACCAGCCTAGATGGTGATGTGAGGGATTTGTAGATGTAATTAGTATTTAAATCACTAAGCTTTGAGTAAAGCTAATTACCCTCCATAATATGGTTGGACCTCATCTGATCAGCTGAAGACCTAAGAAAAGACTGAGGCGCACCTCCCGCACCCCCCGCACCCCGGCCCTCCGACCAGCAGGAAGAAGGACTCTGCCTTCCGAGTGCCCTCGGACTCCGCACTGCCACGCGGACTCTGGCTGCGGCGGCCAGCCTGCCAGCTTGCCCTACAGGTATGGACTTGCCAGGTTCCACAGTTCCACACATATATTCATATTCTGTTTCTCTGGAGAACCATAATACAGTAGGTATGAATGTAAGTTGTTTTCTTGCTCGGAAAAATTTTTCTCGAAGTGAATGACTTTTCACGATGGTAAGTGTTTGGACAGGTGTAGGCAGTCTGGGAGACCGCAGAGGTCTTCTTTTCTCTCCCCTCAACTTCTGAGCAGGCTTGGACTTAAATATTCGGTCACAAATAAGCATGAGAAGTGAGCATCCCATTCCTCCTCTGTCACCACCTGCTCTGTGTAGTTAGTTACATCTAAAACTACATGCATTTGTGATAGCACGACTGGAGTCAGTCTACATACTCTTTGCACAGGAAGGAGTACTATGCAGCAGTACAAAGGAAGTGGGGTCTTTTTCTGTGCTGATGTGGAATGGATTTAAGATAATATGAGTGAGTTCTGGCTGGTGTGGCTTAGAGGACTGAACGCTGGCCTGAGAACTGAGAGGTCACCGGTTCGATTCCCAGTCAGGGCACATACTGGGGTTGTGAGCTAGGTCCACAGTTAGGGGTGTGGGAGACACAACCGATCAATGTTTCTCTCCCTTCCTCCCCCAGTCATAAACAAACAAATAAAGCAAGGTACCGACACTGCGTTCCCATTCGGGCGAGTGAAAAGAATACATGCATATCTGCTTACAGGCCCACAATCCTTCGTTCGCAATTCCAAAATCCAAAAATCTCTGAGGTTTTTCTTTGGTGTTTGGCAAATTCATTTGGCAGCAAAACTGGAGCTGAAAGGATGGGTAGCCACTGGCAGTTTCTGTGTGTCCCTATTAGCACGGACACCTCACACCCCAGGCCCGGGTGGCCGGTGGGCCTGTTTGCCTGGGACTGAGTTGCTCCTCGGACCGGAACTGCCGGGCTCGCCCCCAGACGGTGGGTCATCTGATGCGGAGCTGACCCAGGTGTTAGGGAACACGTTATGCACCTTATGTACCTGTATAAAATCTGACAAGTGCTGGATTCTGAAACCCATCCGTCCCCGAGGGTACTGGATGAAGGAGTGGACTGTCTCTGGAAGGAGACCCAGCAGCCAGCCACAGTCCCCGGGGAGGCTGGGGGGCTGGGCCATTTTTTACTGCGCATCGTCTCCCATCTTTTGACCATGGACCACGTGAATGTATTATCTCTCAAAAAATAAACACAGGAAATACAGGAAAAACAAAACTCTGCACTTTTGACTAAACTAGAAGTAGAATTTTAATGATTTTTGAAAAAAGAAACTACTGTGCTGCTGTTATTGATGCTGTCAAAACAACATTTGCCTTTCAGATTCTGCTGCCCCCAGTGCATCCTGTCCTCAGGGCCGCCTCCCCTACTGAGGCCCCAGAGAGAGTCAGGAGGCTTGCTTTTTGTGTTCTGAGCTCAGAGGTCCCTCCCCAAGCAGCAGCAGGTGGACGACCCCGGCTCTTGCCTCAGCAGCTTGCTCCACAGCCCCAGGCGACTTTTTCCTGGTTGGAAGTTCTTATTTTGAAAAATCAAAAACAATCATACAAAACAAGTAGAAACAGGCTGGGTCAGCTGAAAAATACCCACACGCTCCCACCCCGGGTCTCTGGGTGATATAATTAGCTGGTTTTATCCTGCGGTGAGTGGGAGGCTTGCTCCTCTCACACCCGGCAAGGCCAGAGGCTGACGCAACAAAAGGCAAGCCCGGGCAAGGCCAGCCTGAGCTGTGGCTGCCGAGATGCTGATGCAGGCTCTGTGGGGGTGAGGGGGAGGGGGCTGCTTCAGGGCTGCAGGGGTGTGGGGACCCGGCTGCCCTGGAGGCAAAGCCGGCCTCCTGCTCACTCAGCCTTGAGCTAGCACCGCAGCCAGCTGTTCCCAGCTGACTCTGTCTCACCCAGGTGGAAGTGTCTGCTGAGAGATTCTAGAGGTGAGAAGCACCGCCCCTGCCCCCCGCCTCCACTGAGCCGGGATAGACTAAGTCAGGGTTCCCCAATAGACTAAGTCAGGGTTCCCAAAACTCTGTGGGCAGAGGGTGAGGAGGTTTCAGTCACTGGGAAGATTTGTCAAAATACCTGGGCGCTCGTGTTGCTGGCTGACCCTCACTCAATTTTAATTCAGTAGGCTCAGATAAAATCAGAAATTCGAATGTTAAAACATTGTGTTAATTATTATTTAAAACAGTATTAACTATTTAAAAACTATATTATGAGGAATAAGCCTACCTTGCACCCTGAGACAGTCTGGCTTTGCACAGCACACCTCCAGGGGGCACTGTCCACACGAATCCCAGTGGTGCTAATGGTACCCCTGGAGGTGAGCAACACAGTGGGCCTGCTCCTCCCTCCAAAGGCAACCCCCCGTTGCTTCCCAAGTCTTCTTTCAGATGGCGTCCATGTGTGAGCAGGACCAGAGCGTTGTTCACAGGGGGTGCTTTTTCCTCCCACTCTCTAAGTTAGAATCACTGAGCTAGGGGAGGAAGGTCTGATGGAGGCAGTACCGGCGTCTTCAAGGTGGTACTGGAAGACTGGGTCTTCCCTGAAGCCTCACCACAGCAAACCCCTGCCGGCCACCAGGGCCCACACACCCCTCCAGGGACCTGTCAGGGTCTCTGTACCTGTGTTTGGGGCAATAAAAGCCTTTTCTTATTAATCCTCCTGGGCCCCAGGACATTTTCTAAGGGATCTGTGGAGGAAGGGATTTTCCTGCATTGCAGTCCTGATGGCTCCTGACAGGCTTTGATGTTGACTTGTAAAAACAAAACAAACCTGTGTCCCGAAGGGAGAAACTGGGTCCCGCTGTGTGTCTTTAGACAAATCACACTGTCCCTTTATGTCCTCTGTCCCTGGTTTCCTCCTTTGGGAGCTGGGGGAGCTTCATGTCTACCTCATTTTTCCCAGCCTCTTAAGGATGAAGATACTGAGGCCCAAGAACACTCAGCTTGCAGGCGCCACTGTGTTTGTGGGGGCCGTGTCCAGACACTGGGCGGGAATTGGAATGAGGAAAGGAGTCCTTGCCAGCCTTACTCCTCTGCTGTGTGACCGCATGGACCCCTGCATCTGGGTGGGACCACATGGAATTGTGGGTGGGAATTGGTTCCCAGTGACTTCAGAGGCAGGTGTGAAGAAATGCACATGCCTTCATCTGCCTTCTCTCCCCTCCGGCAGGAAGCAGAGATCCTGTGGCCCTTGGGAAGAGGAGCCACAGGATGGAAAGTTCTTGAATCAGCCCCTGGAGGTCAGCCACTCCCCAGCCAACCGGAACACTTCAATTGTGTTTATATGTGAGTAAGAAAGAGAATTCTGTTGGGTTACCGCTGAGATCTGAGAGTATTTGCTGTAACAGCTAGTGTCACCCTAACACATACCCCCACCTTCCTCCTGAGTCTGGCCCTGAGCTGCTCGCATTTCCCCGTTCAAGGAGCAGCCCTTGGCAATCACTCCCCCAGCAGAGGGCAAGGCTGTTCTGTTTCAAGCCACTGAGGGTGGAGGGAGGGAGCTGTCATCTCTTCCCTGGCTCTGAGCTCAGCTCCAGTAGGGCCACCAGCATGCGGGCTTGGGGGTTGCAGCTGTCGCATTTCACTGTGGCTCTGGTGGCATTAAGACCATGTGTGATACTCAGAACCATCCTAGGGAAGCAAAGACAAGGACAAACAGCTGATGGGGGTCAAGGGGAGCAGGAAGGGTGAGACCACAGCTGGGGCCCTGGGTCTGCCCTGGCTGTCTGCCTGTGTCACCCCCTGGGGCCTCCATTCCCTCCGTAGTGTGAGACTAAAACAAACCTGTCCTGGATGGGGGCAGGAGAGGGTGGGGAGGGTGAGATAATAAATCTGAAATCCCGAAATTACTTTGTAAGACTCCACACTGCTCTGCAATCAGAGGGTCCAAACCCAAGACCCTCAGAACTTTGATGTATATGGAGCTTTTTCTTGGGAGGGGCTCAAAAATCATTAGTCAGGAAAGAAGAATGAAAGAATGCATAATTCCTACTCTTTGGGGATTATCCAGAGGCTGTTCTGAGCTGAAGAGCCTGGAGAAAGGGGTGTCTCGGGGGCTCACAAGGCCAGCTCAGTGTCTGCGAGCGGTTCCCTTTGCCACCAAATCTACTCTCAGGTGTCACAACATCTGAAATTCCACCATTACCACTTCATTCCTTTGGATTCCTTTTTGTTTCTCCACAAAAATGCAAGAAATGATAATCCTTTGCATGCATTCAGTATTTTAGACTTGTTCCAATAATCGTCTCTGAAAGAGACAGACAGTGAGACCCAAACTCTGGGCGTGACAGGAAATTGTAGGGGCAGTTCTACTCCTAAGTGTACATCCAAGAGAAACTCTTGCACGTGTGCCCCAGAAACACGGGTAAGAATAATCATAGCAGCCCCATATATAACACCTCAAAACTGAAAATAACCCAAGTCCTACTGACAGGAGAAGGGATTATTGGATGTTAAATAACAGTGAAAATGATTGACCCCTGTTTGTATAATGTATCGCTGCATAACAGACCGTGTTGAAACATAGTGCAAACACAACCATTTATTTGCTCGAAGTTCTACAATTTAGGCAACAGCTCATTGGCAATGGTTTGTCCCCATTTCGTATACCTTCACCTGGGGAGGCTCAACGAGGGCTGAAAGCTCAGCTTTCAAGATGGTCTCACTCAAGGTTGGCACTGACGCTGGCTGTCAGCTGGAAGATCGGCTGGCCCTACTGAGGGGGAGACCCTCCCTTGTCTTGCATGTGGCCTCTCCACATGACCTTTCACAGCATGGTGGTCTCAGACTAACCAAACTTTTCACGTGTAGCCCCAGGTCCCCACATAAGCAAAAGCAGAAGTTGCTAGACCTTCTCAAGGCTTAAGCCTAGAATGGACACAGTGTTACTTTTGTCCCATTCTGTTGGCTATAGCAGGTAGAAGTCAGACATATTTGGGGGCAGGGGCAACTATAAAAGAGTGCATCTCCCCCAGAGGTGCACTGCATTGGGTGCTGCAGACTTCCACAAACCATGACCACCCACAGCCACATGTCTAAATCTTGGGTAGGTTATGCTGCAATAACAAATAACCTCCACGTTTCAGGGACTTTCACACAACAAAGGATTACTTCTTTCTCACATACATATCCCACACAGGTCGGTGGGGTGGTCTGCTCCACACAGTCACTCAGGAACCCATGCTGATGGAGGTTCCCTCATGTTGAGATGAGACCTCACTTTCACCAGAGCCATGGAGGACAGAAAGGCTGGAGAATTTCAGCTAGTCTCGGCCCTAAAGAGACAATGTCACTTATGCTCACATCTCATGGGCTAGAACGAGTCACATGACCTTGTCTAACCTGCAAAGGGCTGCTGGGAAATGTAAAAGAGCGCATAGAAAAATGGGTATTAAAATTTCTGTCTTGGCCCCATGGGATAAAATCGTTGGAAACAAAAGAAAGTACAACCTAAAATTTAAGGTAGGGGAAGAAGGGTCCAGATAGGAGAGAAATTTACAGGGAGGTATCAGTGATCTGCAAAGGCCCTGAAGCCAACCACAGAGTGCAGGCTAAAAACAGCACTTCCATAAATATTCACTGAGCTCCAGCTAAGGCTGCTGGGCCTCAAAGGTACAAAGATGAATAAAATATGGGCTCATCCCCTCCGGGTCCCCAGCTCAGTTGATGCACATAAACCAAGCAGGCCGGCAAAGCCCAGTGGAGTGGGTTGCTCATCAAGAGCTCTAGGGGCCAGAGGAAGCTCTGAGAAGGCCTCCCCACAAAGGGTCCTGTGAGCTGGGCCATGAAGGATCAATAGGAGTTCAGTGGAGAAAGGAATGAAGGTGATGAAGGTAGGTCAGGAACAGTTATTCCAGGAAGAGGGAACTATATGTGCAACCCCGCACTCCTCACATGGCCTGTGTTCACTGCATTTCCTCACCGCCTTCTAGTTCTTAAATGTCTGGTCAACTCATTCACATCAGGCTGTGCCACCCAGAACCCTCTGCAGACCCAGGCACTCATCGTGCCCACTGGCTGTTGGGAGTATTGGTTGCTAGTCCTTATAGTTGAGTCTTTTATTAGGGATTGGCCACAGATAAGGGAGTTCTCTTGCCCAAGGTCATGCACCCTCTTTCCCCCGGGGTAGCCACATCCAAATGACTGGCTTATAAAGGCCCTGCCTCTAGCTTCACTTCAGGGAACTCTGCGGGACCATCCTACCTCCAGAGCTCCCTATGGGATCAGCTGAGGCCTCTTGGGCCTCCAGTCTCCATCACAGCTCAACTCCCCTCTCTCTGCTCAATCCTGTTTTCTTTATACCCCAGGTGCTGATTGCGCATGCACTCTCCAAGAAACGCCCTTCAAGCAAATCTCCACTTCGGAGTGTGTATTCTGGGAAACCTCCCAAAGATACCACTGAAGTGAAATGATTACTAAATTTCAATGGATGCCTTCCTTGAAGGTGTTTGTATAGCAATAATAATAATAACTAATATTCATAGAGTGATTCTATGTGCCAGGCACTATGCTAGGCACTTTGCCTATATGATCTCATTTAATAAAGAACAAAATTCACGCCAAAGGAGTGAATTTCTCATGGTGAAATTTCAGGCTTAGGCAAGATGACATTTCCAGCTCAGGGATGCTGGCTGGAAATATTTGTGTAGCACAAATTCTGTCACAAATTTCTCTGCCTCACTCTATGATCAGTCCTGATCTTCACTGGCTGGGTAAAGTCCCCATCAGGTCAAGGTGGTGGCTCCCAATCTCATTCTTCCTTAAAAAAAAAAAAAAAAAAAGCAGGGGTCTCACTTCTCAGGAGCCAGCGTGGAGGTAAATTTCTCTGAAAGCTGATTGCCCCAATTTGGGACTCCCCGAGCCTTTTCTGAGAAATGGTGACATTGTTCCCAGCACTTCCTCTCCCTGCTTGGGAAGTTCCTGCAGCCACCATTGAGTCCTCCTCACATCCTCCTTTTTCAGGCTTTCGGCTTTTCCTTTCCATCAGCTCCCTCCCAGATGGGGGCTGAGCCTTGCTCCACCCCTAAGCTGCCTGCTTTCTGGGAGCTTGCCCGGGCAGCAGGCTGTGGCCCTGACTGGCCCTCTGGCCCTCGGGAACATGTCCCAGCATGCTGAGACCTGCCGTAGAAGAGGCTGATGGCTGTTTTGTCCTTGGGGCTGCCTGCTTAGGGGGTAGTAGGAGACAGGAGACTCCCAGAGACCTCAGAGAGACCTTAGTCTGAGTTTTTCTGAAGAGACTATGTGATTTTCAGCATATCCCTTGGGAATGGCCTGAGATTTGTTGTGCACACACACCTGTGTATGGTTTTGTTTGTTTGTTTGTTTGTTTTGGGAGTCAGATTTCCTGTGTGACTTATAACAATTTGCTCCTTTGCCCTCTTCAGAGCAGAAGTCCTCCTTCAAGAACATGCCTGACTACACATTCAGGTGGATGGCTGGAAACACTCAATAGGTGCTTTATCAGTATTTGTTGAATTCTATTGTGGTGGTGGTAGTATTGAGCTAGAAGTTATTTTAAAAAACACCAAAAACCTCACTTCCCAATATCAACAGAATTATTTCATTGTGAGGCTCTGTGCCACAAAACTGTAAGTAGTTCAATACAAGCCTTCATTAAAAATGTTTCCCCCAAAGTAAATAGTCAGACAATGTCAAGTCTGTTTGAAATTCCCGAAAGCCCAGGGGATTCAAGGCAGTAGGAAGATGTGTCTGTCTTCTGTTGGACTTTTGACAACCCAGCCTTTGGGTGGTGCTGGTGTCTGTGTGTTGGGGGCCGCGGCGGGGGGGATGGGGGGAGGCAAAGGGAGAAGCAGTTTTGCCCTCCCTGAGGTCAGCTGTGCTAAAGGAAGAAGACTGGGCATGTCCGGGCAGAGATTTCCAGATCCTGAACAGCCCTAGATGTCAATAACTACAGCTGCTCTAAGCCTGGATTCTATTTTTCAGTGTGATTTCTCTTCAGACTTACACTGTTCTCTGCACATTTTTAAAAGCAGAAACTGCAAATGCTTTAGGTGAAGGAAGGGGGAAAAGGTGGGGGCCCAAGGGGAACTGGAGATTTAGGGGTTCATGGGAACATAGGGGCATCTCCTTTGCTTTTGTATCTGTCAAAGGCACCAGGGGGCATTTCCAGAATTGTTCTTCCTCAGTGTCACCTCCGTGAGCTACCTGGAAATGAGGGGTCCTGGCTGTTTCCCTCATTCTAGAGCCTTTGAAATACTGAGGGCAATAAGCAGAGAACCCTGGGCAGGAGGCAAACGCCTGTGATCCAACCACGGCCACTTATTTGCCAGGTGATCTGGGTAAGGTCACTGAACTTCTATGAGCTTCAGTTTCCCCAGCTCAGCTTCCTTAGTGTGTGTGGCCTGTGCTGGGAAATACCCAGGAGCCAAGCCCCTCTGCCCTTCCTAGCCATGCAACCTGTGGCCATCACAGAGGTTTCTTCCGTTGAGGTGAGAGAGGTGAGTGTGAGGAGTGAGGAGAAGGGTGCCGGGGGTCTGCTCCAGGTGGAGCCCCCCCTCCACCAGAGACCAGGATGCCCCTTCTGAAGAGGGCCCCCAGTTCCCTCCTTTCTCGAGGCGTTGCCAAGCAACAACTCTGCATCTCTTTAGTTCTGTGAGCCTCACCTGGGAAATAAAGGGGGCTGAATCTGCTTCAGGTCTTCAGGAGGCTTTTTTGGGGGTGTCTGGGTGTTCCTGGCGCTGGGGTGCAACGGCGTAGTGAGGGGTCCGTGGGGCTAGTGGTGATATCATGTGGGGCTTTCTGGGAATTGAAAAGTGAGATGCATTATTGTTATTATTTGTGGATTTTTATTTACTACGAATGTCACTCCTTGTGATCTTTTCAGGGCCAGAATATGGCTTATCTTAACAGTGCCGTCCCTCCGGGTGTGGGCCAACTCGCTCCCCAGCCGAACCCCGCCCCCTCCACACATTTGGGGCTCAGTTCGAGGGGAAAATGGTCAAGAGCAGGGCCCGAGAGCGCGGGGTGCTGGGCGGAGGGAATCGGAGGACGCGAGGATGGAGGGGCGTCTCCAGGGACGAGGACGCGCGGGTGTCTCAGCGGAGGGCGGTTCCAGGCTCGGTGAGCCAAGCAACCAGTTCCGCCTCCTACAGTCACCGCTATAAAAGGGCCGACGGGCCGCAGCCGCGGAGCTGTGAGCGGCTGCCTGAGTCCACGGCTTGGAGATCCGGAGCGAGTCGCGATTCGCTGAGAACCGGAGACCCGCCGAGGTGAGCGGGCGGGGGCGAGACGGAGCGGACGCGCGGGCGGCTGGGAGCGTGTGTCCACGCAACGCTCGTCCTCCTGCGTGGGCGCGGGCGTGGGCGCGTATGTCCGCGGGAGTGTGCGTGCTGTGTCCCGCAGGTGAACGACATGCGCGGGTCTCGGGTTTGCTCACGCGGGAGTGTGGAAGTGCGCGGGTGACGGGAATCGGGATGTGCCGGAGACTCGGCTTGGAGGGACCCGCGTCCGAGGGGCGCGTTGCCTCGCTCCCCTCCCCTTGAAACTCGGCTGGGGCGGGGAGGGCGTGCGCGGGGCGCGGCCGGCTCGCGGCGTGGGGATGAAGCCTCTGTCCGCCGAGGGGCGGCAGGGGGAGGAGGGCCCAGCGCGGCAGGAGGTTCATCCCGGGCGCCCCTCGGGTGCGCCCCTGCCCTGATCTCTGAGGTCTGCGTCCCGGACGCCGGAGTGTCCGCCGCCGGGCTGGGCGTTGAGGTCAGCGCGGGCTGTGTCCACAGCTTGGGAACAAGTCGGGGCTTGTCCCTTAAGGGCCAGTGAGGAGGTGAATCACGGTGACAAGGAGACCCCGAGAACACAGCCGGAGCCGCGGGGCAGTTGCCCCCAGAAGTTCCCTTCTTTGCCCCTCCGAAATCTCTGTCCCCCTGCCCCCCCGCATCAGCACAGTGACCTATTTGGCTGGCACGGAGTGTTCCCGGGGAAGCCAGGACTCCGGGGGTCCAGGGCCGGGTGTCCGGTCCCTGCCCTGCGGACCCCGAGCCGCGGCCGGGCGCCCGGTGTGCTCACCGCAGCCTGTCAGTGCGGGGAGCGAGGGCGCCCGCCCGCCTCTGTGTCACCGCCGCCCGGAGACCCGGGCCCCGCCGGCCCTCGCGTCCGGGCGGCTGTCTCCTGGGCGGAACGGAGCCTGCTCTGCGGAGCGACTGGGTGTGCGGTCCACGCCCGGGTGGGAGGCGGGGTGGTGTCGAAACTTGGAGGGGCGAGGCTTCGCGGGGCGCGACGCCGCTCTGTCCGCTTCACCGGGCGCTGGCGCGTCCCGGACCGCGGCCAGAGTTCCCTCTCCCGGGGCGGCAGGGCAGAGCCGAGCAGCTGGGCGACTCGCCCTTCGGGTGCCGCCGCCCAGTCCGGGCCCGCTGGGGCCACTTCGCCCAATGGCGGAAAACAATCTTGGAACGGGGTCTGGCACTTTACGGTGTCCAGGCAGCGCCCTCCCTCTGTGTCGCGTTTTGGGGAGGACTTTCGAGCGGTTTTGTTTTCTTTGCCCCCGTCTATTTTTATTTTCCAGGGATCTGAGTCATTCCCTGCTTTGGGCGTGGAGATAAGGTGGAGGGACTAGATCACTGTGCGCCTGTGTGCGTGTGTGTGTGTGTGTGTGTGTGTGCGCGTGTGTGTGAGTTTGTGAGACAGCAATGGCGCGAGAGTGCGCGGTTTCCCAACAGTGGCGGGGGTTTCGGAAGCTTGGCTGGGTCAGCGTGACGTGTTCGCAGCCCCCGGCCCCTCCCGTCCCCCTCCCTCCCCAGCTGAGAATGACGCGCAGCCAGAGTGGAAGCTAAGTTTTGGCGGGCAGGGCGCACTTTGCAGGAAACTGACTCATCGCAGCTCGCTCCTGCCTACCCAGGCTTTGCCCTCGCACCTCCCACACGCGCGTGATTTCCAGGAGACTAGCGACCCCTTCCGGCCCCAAAGCAACAGCACACTTGCCCTCCCGTGGAATGCGATTTCACCCGCCTTCCTTCCCGCGGCTAGTCCAGGGCTCATCCCAGGTCGCTACCCCCACCCTCACGCTACCCTCTAACGCTCCCTAAAAAGAGTACCCCATTGGTTCAACAGTGTTTGCTGAGTGCTTAATATTTACTTGGGAATTAAAATTGGTTGAAGTCTAAGGCACTAAGGCCAACGAAGAAAACTATTCTCAATTACTTGTTTGTAAAACAAGGGTTTGTGTTTGTGAGTTCCCTCTGAGCTGGGAGTTATGATAATGGGCGCCAGAGCAGATTTTGATGGGGCCCCTATGAGAGTCGTAAGGGAAGGGGTGGTAGAAAGACAGAGGGTCCCTGCCTGGAATCTGGTCCTATCTTTAGCTCCCAGAAGCCAAGGAATATCCAGCTTCCTGAAAAAGTCCTAGGGGAGCCCCTTGTCATGCTTCAAGGAGCCGAGACCTAGAATTTCCGTTTCAGCATCCTGTGTGTTCCCTCTCATGTGCCCACCTGGGGAACTGCCAAATACTTGCTTAAATCCCACTAAATTTTGGATTAAGTTGGTCCGA